TCCTTTTACACTTGTTGAAACTTGTTCTATACACACACACACACACACACACACACGCGCGTGCGCGCACGCACTAGAGGCCTGATGCACGAAATTCATGCAAGGGGCTTGGCCCTCACAGTCCCAGCTGCCTCAGTCCTTGCAGCCCCGGCTTCATCCAGAAGGTCGTCTGGTAGGTCTCCAGACAGTTGTTCTGCCATCTGGTATAATTAGCATATTAGCTCTTTATTATATAGGATCCGGTATAATTAGCATATTAGCTCTTTATTACATAGGAAGGATGTGTGATCTCTTGTGTGTGGTGGCTCTCACTTAGCATAATGTTTTCAGGTTCACTGTAGCAGTACTTCATGCCTATTATGGCTCAGTGATATTCCATTGTGTGGACATATAGCATTTCGTTTATCCACTCACTCATTGATGGATACTATGTTACCTTACTTCTGGCTGTTGTGAACAGTGCTGCCATGATCCACATGCCTGTTCTTGTGTTTAAGGATTTGTTTTTCAAATTTTTGAATGTATACCTAGGAGGGTAATTTTGTGTGGAACTTTTTGAGGACCCATTATACTGTTTTCCACAGGAGCCGAACCACTGTACATTCCCACCAGCTAAGTACAATGGTTCCAGTTCCTCCTCATCCGAAGCAACTGGTTATTTTCTGTTGTTTTGATTGTAGCCATCCTACTGGTGTAGAGTGGTATCTCATTGTGGTTTGATATGCGTTTCCTTTATAGCTAATGATGCTGGGGATCTTTTCATGTGCTTATTGGCCATTTATTTGTATATCTTTGGAAAAATGTCTGTTCAAGCCCTTGCTCATTTAACATTTTGACTTTTGCCTTATAATTCTTAAATTTAGCCATTCCTTACATAATAAGGATACACGTACTATACCAGATATATTATTAGCAAATATCTTCTCCTATTTGTGGGTTGTCATTTTGCTTTTTTAAAAAACTTATCTTTAGTGTTGAAAGTATTACAGATGTCCACGTTGTTTTATTTTTCCCCTTTGACCCCTTCCACCCTGCACCTGCCCCTCCCAGCATTTTACTTTCTTGATGGTATTCCTGGAAGGGCAAAAGTTCTTAATTTTGTTGAAATCTAACTTACCTATTTTTTGGTTACTTGTGCTTTTGATGCCACGAAAACTAGTTTTTAACTTTGAATTTATCAGTCCCTTTTTTATGATAAACCTTAATGGGGGGAGGGGGCAATGGGGGATAAGGACACATATGTAATACCTTAATCAATAAAAATAATTTAAAAAAAGTTTAATGGGAACAGGAGAATAATCTAAATACATTCATCAAAATACCCTAAAGTGTAGGTAGGCTGCAATATTCCAGAAAGCTTAGGATTCCTAAGCCACAGAGAAATGTCACACGATTGAATTGCAGGAAGGTGAGTGTGAGCCCTTTTTTCCTTTCCTCCCAGAGGGACTTCTGATTTCTTGCCCAGACTTGGGGCTGCTGTGATGCCGGTGTGCTGCCTGGCAAGGAGTAGTGCTAATTCTTGGACCCTTAGAATGTCTGGCTTAGTTTTTTGGCCTCCAAAGATATATAGTTATCCTGAATTTTAAGTTACTAAAATTATATCTGAATTTTAAGCCACTAAAATTATTAGGAGAGGGGAAATATCAGAGTATGTCTTCTGACAAATGAATCTTAAATTATACAGGAAAACAACACAACCTTGATCTTTCTGCAACTCGAGTCACTTTTTCTTCTATGATTTAAAGAGACGACCTTCTGGATGAAGCCGGGGCTGCAAGGACTGAGGCAGCCGGGACTGCGAGGGCCGAGCCCCTTGCACGAATTTCGTGCATTGGGCCTCTAGTTTTATGATAAATCATTAGAAACAGAAAATAAGAAAGAATTGCCTCCAGTGACGCGCACTGGAGGTTTTATGTGTTTGCTTATGAGTACTTAAATACATGTGTGAGTATATACATATGTGTGAGTTATATATGTAATTTTTAAAAATTCTAGTTTACAGGAGGGAACTGGAAGGCCTGTGGCTTCCAACAAGGCCGTTACCTGTGCAGAGCTCGTCTTAGATGTCTCGCCAAAGACACAAAGAGTCATTTTAAAGAAGAAGGTAAGAGAGCTTAGAATTTGGAGTTTAGAATAAAAGATTTTTAACGCTGGAAGAAATTCGGTTCTTCTGATCCAACCCCTCATTTTAAGCGGAGGAAGAGGAGACTTAGGCTGAGTGACTTGCTCAAGGCCTTGATCTGGTTTATTTCTTCCCACTGTCCCATGACACCTGCACTAGGAGTCCCAAGCACCTTCCCATCTTTGATGCCCTTTTTGGAAAACTTAATTCTGTTTGTTTTTTTCAAATCTGTGATATCATTTTCATTACTCTGTTTTTCTGTTGTAGTACTCCCCTAATCTACTTATTCCTAAACAGAATGCAAAAGTTATCAAACTGACAGTTTTTCCCCTTTTTATGCTAATGTTATTTTCAAGTCAATTTAGGGAAATGTTTATGCTAATAGACCTAGATAGAAAGACAGTAAAATTTGGCTAGAAATATTACAAATGACAGAAGAACTGGTAATAAATAGTTCAACCTTCAAAATAGAAGAAGTTTCAGAACAGAGCTGCAGAAATCACTTTAAGTGACTAGGGATTAAAACTATGAAAGCTTGAATTTAAGCCTTTATGTGGTGTGCAAATGTCTCTTACTGTAGTTCCTACTTGAGAACTTTGCCCTTACATGGAACTGTGGCTGCACATGACCGCTCTTTCTGGTCTGCCCACAGGAACCAGGGAAGCGTTCTCAGCTGTGGAGGATGACCGGGACCGGCATGCTGGCCCATGAGGGCTCGTCAGTGCCTCACAACCCCAACAAGCCCTCAGCAGCCCGATCCACTGAGGGCTCTGCCATCTTAGATATTGCTGGGCTAGCAGCTGTAACTGACAACAGGTAATATTATTCAAGTTCATTGCTTTCAAATTCACTCAGATGAATTCTATACCAAAAAGCGAGTCTGTAAATGAAGTAGGAATTTGTCTTTTTATATTTGTTGTTTTCTTCAGTGACAGAAACCTCTTATGTTCCCAAATATGAGCATTGGGCCTTTATTTTATTTTTTTAAGCTATGGAGATGTTTAAAATTCAAACAATAAGGATATATTATAAAAAGTGAAGGTTTCTTTCACCCAGACTTCCATTCATCATTACCCCCTAGAAGTGAACAGTTTCTTTTTAAACATCTTTAAAAAATTATGCTAACTCTTTTGAAAGCAGAAACAAATTATTTAGAGAACAATCGAGGAGTTGTGGCTAACTCCTTGGGTTCAAATCAGCTTTTTAGCTTTGAATAAATTCCTTTATTTGCTGTGCCTTAGTGTTTCTGTGAAGTCAGTGTATTTGTTTTCAGGTAATACCTTATTTTATTCAGAATGATTTCAGATGACTTATAAGTTGAAACCCACTATAAATAAATGTATTTGGAAATAAAACAGAACAAAGACTACTGAAAATATTTTAAAATGTGTTTGACAACCCTTCTCATACTGCATGGTAGCTAGTCCTTGTGAGAATACAAGAACCTATATTATTATATAAGTAAATAATAAATATCCTATATAATAAGAGAGAAATATGAAAATTAGGCCCGGACATCACTACCAGTTCAGGAGGCTGCATCACGACCAGCTCAGAGCATGCCCCCCACCCCAGTGGACACCAACCACCACCAGGGCTGGGGGCGGGCTCTGAGCTGCGCTGCAGTGGCTCGGAGCCCGCCCCCAGCCCTGGCACTGCTCAGCTCTGAGGCCACTCCTGCTGGGGGTTTGCAGGCAGGCATGCTGTGCAGCCTGCCCTGGGAGCAAGGCCCCTGGCAGGAGTGGCCTTGGAGCTGGGTGCCGCTGCACTCCTGCCAGGGGTTCACGGGCAGGCACGCCACGCCGCCTGCCCTGGGAACCTTCCTGCCCTGGGAGCAAGGCCCCCGGCAGGTAAATAGTGCTGCCCAACTCTGAGGCCACTCCCGCTGGGGGTTTGTGGGCAGGAACGCCGTGCTGCCTGCCCTGGTAGCAAGACCCCCAGTGGACCTATGGACCTGCCCAGGGGGGCGTGCTCCAAGCTGCGCCACGGCAGGACCAAGGCCCCCAGCAGACCTGCCCAGGGGGGCATGCCCCAAGCTGCGCCACAGCAGGACCAAGGCCCCCAGCAGACCCACGGACCCACCCAGCGAGGTGTACTCTGAGCTGCCGCAGCCAGACTGTGGCTTAGGCCCCCCCCTGCTCCCTGTGGGGAGCGGGGGGTCCTAAGCCATCAGTAGGACATCCCCTGAGGGCTCCCAGACTGTGAGAGGGGGCAGGCTGGGCTGAGGGACACCCACCCAGTGCACAAATTTCATGCACTGGGCCTCTAGTTTTATATAAATGATGGTTGGGTCCCTCAGCCTGACCTGCACCCTCTCCAATCTGGGAGCCCTCAGGGGATATCCTACTGACAGCTTAGGCCTGCTCCCCGTGGTTCGCTGCTCTCTGCGGACTTGCCTGCTTGATGCCACTGCAGGCCCTGGTGTCTGCTCTCTGTGGGGGCCTGCTTGCCCTTCGCCACCAGGGCCAGGAGCAAGCAGGGCCCTGCTGTCTGCTCTCTGGCTCGCCGCCGCAGGGGCAATCTGGGAGCCCTCAGGGGATATCCTACTGACAGCTTAGGCCTGCTCCCCGTGGTTCGCTGCTCTCTGCGGACTTGCCTGCTTGATGCCACTGCAGGCCCTGGTGTCTGCTCTCTGTGGGGGCCTGCTTGCCCTTCGCCACCAGGGCCAGGAGCAAGCAGGGCCCTGCTGTCTGCTCTCTGGCTCACCGCCGCAGGGGTAAGTGGGGCGCTGGTGTCTGCTCTCTGTGGGGGCCCTGTCGGGGACTACTTGCCCTTTGCTGCCACAGCCAAGGGCAAGCAGGACCCTGCTGTCTGCTCTCTCGCTGTGGGGGATGTTCCTGTCCTGCCCCGAGCTGCTTGTGTGTGCGCTGGCTTGGAGTGCCTGGATCCCAGGGATGTTCCCGCCCCGTCCCTGGCTGCTTGGCAGCTACGCACGGGCCTACAGGCTTAGAGCGGCCTGGGTCCCAAGGACCAGGTTGCACAAGCAACCACCCCAGCTGCTAGGCGCCTGTGGATGCAAATTAACCCTCCATCTTTGTCAGGTTAATTTACATATTCACTCCTGATTGGCTGGTGCGTGTCGCAGAGGGATGGTCAATTTGCATCTTTCTCTTTTATTAGTGTAGATAAAATGAATCCTTAAAGTATTACTGTTACTCCATGACCCTTTTGTTGCTTTCCATTTTGTTTTATTCCCCTTTCCTCATTAGGAGATACCAGCTGCCATAGGGTTCAGGCTAACTGCCCATTAGATTTTAAGGGAAGAGGATATTGGAAGGATGAAGAATAAAATCGTGGTCCTAGTATTTCCTTCAGGCTTGAACTGTGTGACTCAGAGGACTCACTGCATTTCCCTTTACCCCAGGTATGAGCCGCTGATGCTCAGGAAGCCTGATCGCAGGAGAAGCACAACCCAGACCTGGAGTTTCCGCGAAGGAAAACTGACCTGCGGGTTACACGGGCTGGTTGTCCAGGTCTGTACGTTTTGACATCCTTGGTGTGAGGAGCAACGGTTCAGCCTTCTTTGAAACAAGGTCTCAGTGAGGAGATCCATTACATGTTCAATGGAGAGAACTAATTACAGAGCAAATATGTATTGTCTCATTTTATCAGGAAAGTCAGGGAACTTTTGTTGAGCACCTCTGTGTATTTATATGGAAAATGTTCTTAAAGGTGATACATAAGAAATATGTGAGGGATGGTTGCCTCCAAGGTGATGGGATTTTTTTTATTGGCTTATTTGGATTTTTTTCTTTGACATAAATTACTTACGTAATTTTAAGAAGGAAAGAAAAATGTCTACTGAAAAAGCCCACCACTAAGTGAGGTGGATTGGTTTGAGGCCTGTGAGGTTAATACAATAGCTGCAGGAGTGCTTGGTAAAGTATTCTCAGCGACGGTGAGTAGTCATCGTGGGCTCTTGATTCTGTTTATTTCTGCATTCTTAGTGGCGCCCAAATAGCATTTAATTGTTGTAGCAAATGTCAGGGTGAAGATTGCTGTGGTCAGTTTCCCCTGTCCTCTAGTCAGCCAGTCTGCCCATGATGAACTCCCAAGTTCCTTATAAGCAAATACATTTGGAAAATTACCGGGAGTTTGGATTTTCTTCCCTCAGGCTTCAGGCCGGCAATGAGACCATGGATCTGAGATAGGAAGGTGCCTCGGGGCTTTGGGCATTAGCAGAACAGCATGCGTGACAATGCGTGCAGATCTGCCTCTGCCTGGGTTTTACCCCAGAGGTTCACACGGACACATTAGGCCCTGGCTGGGGAACTCTCAGTGTGTTGTTGCGGGTGGGAACCAGGCCGTCCTTCGTAATGGGAGGCGGTTCTCCAGGGCAGCGAGCAAAACTGCAAGGAGCCTCTGAGTGCTATTTGCTGAGATTTATTTTCTTTATCTCTATTGCCCTTAGCTTTTTTCATCAAAGGCAAGCTGCTTACTTATATGAAGCAACATCTGGAATGGATTTGTGATTTTCAATTAGCAATACAATTCAGACTTCTAGAGGCAAAAGGGGGCTTGTTATAATTGTTGGATTCTGAGTCTGATCCTGAATTCACTTCTCGTTTGTTTCTAAAGCCCTTGTAATTCTGATTCTCTTAGAGCATTTCCCCCCCCAAAAAATCTTTTTTGGTGTTTGTTGTTTCTCTTTTTAAAATACCTTTTTATTGATTTCAGAGAGAAAGGGAGAGGGAGCGAGAGATAGAAACATCAATGATGAGAGAGAATCATTGACCCTGCAACCCGAGCATGTGTCCTGACCAGGAATTGAACCGTGACCTCCTGGTTCATAGGTCAACGCTCAACTACTGAGCCACGCTGGTCGGGTGTTGTTTGTTTCTTGAATCTATGGTATCATTTCTCCGGTTGTGAATGACCCTGTAATAGTGTTCAGCTGAGCAGAATGTGTTTTGAGCAGGGAAATAGCTTGTTTCAATCATATTATTCAGAATAAAGTTTATTATAGGCATTTTGATGTTTTATGACACTGCCTTTATAAAGCTGTGTATGACTTTCTTTCTAAACTTACAACAGTCATGAAAGCTTTCTCCATGTTGAAATCTGTCCTATAAACCCAGTTCAAAGTATCCTTTTCATTGCTCAATGTTTAAATATTAACAAAGGGGATATAGAGACTAGCCATTGTCTTCTCTAGCCCTGTGTTTGCTCTGCCATAGGCATCATCCTGTAGACTTCCGTTTTATTTGGCGCATATAGCAGGAGGTACAGTCCTGTTCTGCAAAGGCCCGAGTAACTGAGGATCAGACGACGTTCCCAGCCTCCTGTTTCAGAAGAGGCACCATCTTTTGACTCTTTGGGTTGATTGTTCAGTCATAGGCCTGTTTGGGGAGGTTTTCAACTCTAGAATGTGCTTCTTACTGGAAAGCTGAGTGATAGTGATAATGGCTTTATTTTCAGATTGTATCCGATTTTTAAGCAACCCTAATGAGACTACTCCGAGAAACAGGGCTGTTGGTTCTTTTTTAAAAAAGCCGTTTTTAATGATTAGAATTTATTACTAAACCAAAATACTCTATTCATGGAACTCTCTTACTCAGAATTCCCTAAATTCATAGAGCATAACTTTTCATCTTGCCCAAGTAATTCTGTTTTATATCATCTATAATGTTGAAAAAAATAGGTAATGCTTTACTGTACATTGACCGTAACCCTTCAAAAGAAGATTTAAATTTGATAACTTGTTTCAAATGACACATTAAATTGTCAAAGTCAATGCCTTTACTTTCGTTCTTTCTTACACATCTTTCCTGTGTCTTTTAGGCCAAAGGAGGGCTCTCTGGTTTGTTTGATGGAGCTGAAGTCGTTCTTGGTCCTGACACTTCCATGGAGATTTTGGGGCCAGTTCCACCTGAACAACAGTTTATTAACCAAAAACTGAGGCCTGGTTCTGGAATTTTATCTATCAGAGTCATCCCAGATGGACCAACTAGAGCATTGCAGGTGATAATTTATCTTAAAAACTGACATGAAGGAATCTTAGTACCCGACCCTCATGGTTAGTCATTCAACAAATATTTATAAAGATACAGTGTCTTCATTTATCAAGTGAGGATAAGACCAACCTCACAAAGTTGTTAGAAGAATGAAAGAATAAGTAAATATAAGACGATATAAAAAATAAAGTATTAGTATAGTGATTGGAGATAATACAGTGTAACCTGAGATAGTCATCATAATCCATAATACCTCTTTAAAAAACCTCCTTATTTTAGACAAAGGTGAATTGAGGTTTGTGTATTTTGACTTGAGTTGTAATTCTAGATCACTACAGATGCCAGCCCCACTAGACGAGGGTCTCAGGTCTACAGCTTGGCCTTTGCCGTGTAGACGGGGAACAAGTTTGTTTCACTGTTACATAAATCTTACCTTAGCAGTGCTTTGGAAACCATTAACTTCCATAGGATTATTGACTATACAGTGAGTTTTGACCGACACAATCTATATGGAATGGGTTTCGCTGTATAAATGTAAGCCTTCTTAGTACACTGTTTTATTTGACCTCAGATAACGGATTTCTCCCAACGGAAAAGTGACCGTTCATCATATGAAGTGGATGAACTTCCTGTTACTGAACAAGAGCTACAGAAATTAAAGAACCCAGGCACAGAGCAGGAATTAGAAGTAAGTTTTAAGTATTGCAGATTCATTTATCATAAGTTTGGTTAGAATTTTGCTCCAGGTGTTCTCAATTTAAGCCTCTTCTTTTCTTTCTGCCCTCTGTGAACTCTAAATATAGGTGTTGCTTCAGTGTTTAATGTTATCACAACATGAATGTGTGAGTATTTAGTTAAATGACAGCTAAAGACTGTGAAAATGTTGCTAAATTAAGATGACAGTGAACAAAGCTAAACTACTTGATTTAGACGGGAATGAAGGTGGAGAATAAATAAGATAGACTTTTTTTTTTTTTTTTTTTTTGCCCCAGTTGATTCTGATATCTCCCTTCCCCTCTCTCTGTTTGGGTATTGGGAAGGAAGTAAAATATTTGAAAAGGAGCATGAGATGAACACGAAAAAGCACACTCTTTTCAGTGACCTTTAAAAATCAAATATCTATATGTAAAGCATTGTATTGGATGTTATGCTAGTTCAGTGAATAACTTATAAAGAGCTTGCATCCCAAATAGGGAAAATATTATAAATAATTATTCTCTTAAAATAAATGCAGAATGTCATCAGTACTCTGATAGAGGCATTATCATATCAGACTAGAGTTCTGGGGGGTAGGGAGGTGATGGGACTTAAAGGCATCAAGGTGAATAATATGACTAAGAAAGTGGTTTTCATCTGCTCAGGGATGAAATCCCTCTGTTTTAAACGGTCAGTATGCCATTTTTTGGTTTCCTTTCAGGTGCTTGTGAAGTTAGAAGGTGGACTCGGGTTGTCCTTAATTAATAAAGTCCCAGAAGAACTGGTCTTTGCAAGTCTTACAGGAATCAATGTGCACTATACACAGTTGGCTACCAGTCATATGCTTGAGCTCAGCATACAGGATGTACAGGTAAGGGGCAGGACAGTTTAGAACTTGTCAACCCCTTCCCCAATAATTTTTTTGTTAAAAACGTTTCTTTTTCAGACTAATTTTTTTATTTTGGTTCTATATAGTATTTTCGATGCTGGTTATGAAAACAGTTTGTAACTCGTCTTCCTATAAACCATATTTTTTTACCATATTTTCTTAGTATACTCGTCGACGACTGAAAAAGAACATTTTGTGAAAACGAGTATACACGTTTCTGCCGGGGAAGGGGTTAATCTTCTTGTGTTCTCGCTGAACACCCAACCAGATCCAGTGTTTGGTGTTCTAAACACTTTGGTGCTTTGGCAAAGTATCTTGTTGTGGCCTTCAAAAAGTCATTCTATGAAAGTAATTGTTTCTACCTACATTTGTTTCATTAATTTTTCTATATAGCAGAATTCTGAATATAGTAGCTAGTCTAGCAGTGACTTAGATAACTTAATGTAGCGTGGAGGAACCCAGGGTCCCCATCTTGCAATATTAGAAACAATAGGAAATCATCTCACCATGAGGAACTGAAGTTCATCATAGGAAGAAAAACAAGGGAACTGAACTTGTGCTTCTGGCCAACATGTAGTGACAGGAACCAGATTTACTCTCCTACGTGAATCGACCCCAAATCCAGATAAAACAGAGAGACAGCAGGTCCAAGACACTGGACATCAGACAACAGCGTGAGAGGTGGGAAACCAAAGAGGTGAGCCCTGCAGTTGCTCAGCTTACTGGGAAAGCTTCCCGGCCGTGGCACTGGGAGGGGAGGAGGAACTAGAATGGATGAGTTGAACAAACAGAGCTGGAGTCCTAGCACTGAGGCAGCTGGACTCCAGAGGACAGCATCCTGGGAGGAACATGCGTCACAGAAAGAAAACATGGGAGCTCTACGGAGGGGCCCTACGAGTATTCAGCAGAGGACAGATCAGTGATGTGTGTGAGGAAACTGCCATCCGGACCATCCGAAAGGATCTCCGGGATAGCACCTGCTGCTCCTCAGCTGGAGATGGTGCTGCTTCCTCCCAGCCAGACTGGATGCTGGGAGGAGTCCTCCAGCAAGTCTTGCTTCCATGCTGAGCTATGATTAGCCCTAGCCTGAGCACTGCTCCAGACCTACCTAACAAATCATAAAAGGAAGGTCTGAAAGGATAGATTTGTTTCCAAGTAACTTAACTGCACCCTGAACAAAGCTCAAGATGTAATGGAAAACAAAAATATTCAGCAGCCAAAGTAATATTCACAATATCTGGCTTCCTATCAAAAAGTACCAGGTGTGCAGAGGGGCAGGAAAACACAATATGTAATCAGAATAATCAGTCGAAATGGACCCAGAGCTAACACAGATGTTAGAATTTTCAGAGGACATTAAAACTATTAGGATAACTGTATTCTGCATGTTGAAAAAGTTAAGTAGAAACATGGAAGATATAAAAAACTCAAACTTCTACAGATTAAAATGAAATGAAAAGTACACTGGATTTGATTAATAGCAGATGACACATTGTAGAACAAAAGATTAGTGAGCTTGAAGATGTAGCAATAGAAACTGTCTGAATTTAAATAGAAAATAGACATATCTCTCTTATTGCACTTTATTATGCTTCACAGATACTGAGTTTACAAATTGAAGGTTTGTGGCAACCCTGCATTAAGTGTCTGTTGGTGCCATTTTTTAATAGCATTTGCTCACTTTGTGTCTCTTTGTCACATTTTGATGATTCTCATTAATAGTCCAGTATTTTTCAATATTGTTACATTTGTTATGATGATCTGTGATCAGTGATCTTTGATGTTACTAATGTAGTGGTTTGGGGGTACCATGAACCACTCCCATATAAGAATGCATACTTCATTAATAAATCTTGTGTGTATTCTGACTGTTCAACCAAATGGCCATTTCCTCGTCTCCCTTTCCTTATTCTGCCTACTCACTTAGACACAACTTGAAACTAGGCCAATTAATAACTCTATAATGGCCTGTAAGTGTTCAGGTGAAAGGAAGAGTCGCATGTCTTTCACTTTAAATCAAATACTAGAAATGGTAAAGCTTAGCGAGGAAGGTATGTCAAAAACCAAGACAGGCAGAAAGCTAGGTCTCTTGCACCAGTTAGCCAGTTGTGAATGCAAAGAAAAAGGTCCTGAAGGAAATTAAAAGTGCTACTCCAGTGAACATATGAATGATAAGAAAGCAAAACAGCCTTGTGCTGATATGGAAAAAGTTTTAACGATGGGGATAGAAAAAGCAAACCACAATATTCCCTTAAGCCAGAGCCTAATCCAGAGCAACGACCCAACTTTTTTCAGCTCTCTGAAGGCTGAAAGAGGTAAGGAAACTGCAGAAGAAAGGTGTGAAGCTAGCAGAGGTTGTTTATGAGGTTTAAGGAAAGAAGCCATTTCCATCACATAGAAATACAAGGTGAAGCCGCAACTGCTGATGTAGAAGCTGCAGCAAGTTACCCAGAAGATCTAGCTAAGCTAGTAATTGAAAGTGGTTACACTGAACAACAGGTTTTCAGTGCAGATGACACAGCCTTCTATTGGAAGAAGACGCCTCCTTGGACTTTCGTATTACAGAGGATAAATCAGTGCCTGGATTCAGATGACAGCCTGGCTCTCTTGTTAAGGGCTAATGTAGCTGGTGACTTTAAGTTGAAGCCAATCTTTTTTTTTTTTTTTAACTTTTTGTTATATATATATTTTTTTTTATTGATTTTTTTACAGAGAGGAAAGGAGAGAGATAGTCAGAAACATCGATGAGAGAGAAACATCGATCAGCTGCCTCCTGCACATCTCCTACTGGGGATGTGCCCGCAACCTAGGTACATGCCTTTGACCGGAATCGAACCCGGGACCCTTCAGTCCGCAGGCCGACACTCTTTTCACTGAGCCAAACCGGTTTCGGCAAGCCAATTCTTATTTACCATCTGAAAATCCTAGGGCCCTTAATAATATACTCAATCTATTCTCTCTGTGCTCGATAAATGGACAACAAAGCCTGGATGACAATACATCTGTTTACAACATGGTCAACCTAGAATTCTATGTCCAGCAAGTATACCTTTCAAAAAATAAGGGTGAAAGAAAGATGGTTTTACACAAACAAAAGCTAAAAGAACTCATTACCAGCAGATCTGCACTATAGACAGTGTTAAAGGGCATCATTCAGGCAGAAGGAAATGGTATGAGATAGAAATCTGGATCTACACAAAAGAAGGAAGAGTACCTGAAATGATGATCACTACGGGGGTAAATACATAAAATAATTTTCTATTTAAATCTCTGTAAGAGGTAATCAACTAGTTTAGACAAAAATAATTATCGCTATATTTTGGGATCTATAATACATTAGAGTAAAATGAATGACAATAATAGCATATTGTCTGGAAGGGGGGAAATGGAACTATATTATTGTAATTTTTTTATACATGAAATATTATGATGTCATTTGATTGTAGGCTGTTAAAGATGAATACCACAAACCTTAAAGCAACCACCAAAAGAGTTACACTTAATAATCTAACAAAGGAGATAAAATGGAATCATAAAAAGTACTTGATTAATCCAAGAAAAGGCACACAAAAGAGGAAAACTCAGAAAAGAGCAGGAAGATGGTTGACTCATTCAAACCTAACTGTATCAGTTAATTAAATGTACATGCTATAAACACCTCCAATTAAAAGACAAAAGTTACAGGTTAGATTAAAAAGTACAACCCAATTATATACTGCCTACAAAAACACACACATTAAAATTAAAGACCCAAATAGGTTAAAAACAAAATAATGGAAAAAGATATACCAGGCTAACACTTGTCATAAGAAAGTGGGAATGAGTAGATTATATCAGACAAAATAATTTACAGAGCAAAGAACATTACCAGGGGTTAGAAAGGTAATTTCCTAATGATAAAAGAGACAGTTAATCAAGAGGGCATAACATTCCTGAATATGTAGACAGAACTTTAAAATATACAAAGAAAAAAAATCTGAAAGAAGAATATAGACAAATACACAATTATAGTAGAAGATTTCATTGCCACTCTCTGAATATTTGGTAGAACAAATAAGCAGAAAATCATGAAAGACATACTAGATTTGAACAGCACTACCAACCCACTAGGCCTAATGGATATTTATAGAACACTCCACCCAGCAACAGCAGGACACATGTTCTTCTCCAGTGCACGTGAACATTTCCAAGATGGAACACATTCTGGACCATAAAACGATTCTCAACAAATTCAGAAGGATTTAAGTCACACCCAGTATGCTCTTTGATCACAATGGAATTAAAGTAGATATAATGGAAAAGGAGTTAGGAAAATCCCCAAAATATTTGGAAACTAAATAGTAGACTCCCAAATAACCCATAGATCAAAGAGCAAATCAAAGTAGAAATTAGAAAATATTTTGAACTGAATGAGAATGAAAACACAACATATCAGAATTTGTGGAATGCTGCTAAACATCACCAACAACAAACCCAAAATAAGCAGAAGAAGGGAAATAATAAGGATCTCAGCAGAAATTAATGAAGTAGAAACCAGCAACTACAGTAGAAAAAAATCAACTAAAAAGCTGGTTCTCTAAGATCAGTGCGGCCAGGACTAAAAAGAGAAGGCACAAATTACCAATATCAGGAAAGCGGAGGTGCCAGTCAAGTAAAAAAATTGACGTCTCTCTGGGAATGGAGCTTTTGGGGGAGCTGCAAGCCCATCATGGCCCCTCCTCGGCCTGCCAGGCCCCTGTGTGTTCACCGTGGTTGCAGGGCTGTTAGTTTCTGAGGCCTCTATGGACCTGGGGAGGACGAGTGGGAGTGACAAGTGAAAATGCCACAGAGCTGTTCTCGAATTTTAGCTAATTTTCTTGAATAAATGATCCCTGGATAGTTGCAGACCTTTAACTTTCAGAGTTCTGAAATACTAGATTTTGACTATTTTTGCCAGTTTTATTGTGATGCTATCAAGACAATTCTCTTTGTAACACCATTCCTGGGATCCTCCTCTCCAGCCTTCACCAAGCTTGAAATGCTATTATTGTGGGTCTTCAATGAGACTATATTTTTACAGCTGCTGTTTAGACAGAGTCAAATGGCAAGGGTACTTCCTGAGCAGCCTGCATATTGTGAGACCCCAGTCAAAGGTAGAAATGAGAACCGAGCCACTTGGCTGTTTTTGTTTTATTTTGCCTTTTCATGTCCTAGGTGGACAATCAGCTCATTGGTACCACTCAGCCCTTCATGCTCTACGTGACACCCCTGAGCAATGAGAATGAGGTCATTGAGACAGGCCCTGCCGTGCAGGTGAATGCGGTGAAGTTCCCCAGTAAGAGTGCGCTGACCAACATCTACAAGGTAGGCTGGTGGGTTTGAGCTGTGCCGGGTTTGTTCCCTCACAGCCAAGTGTCTGAGCAGCAGAGCAGGGTGTGGACGGAAATAGTCCTGTGGGGTGAAGGCACAGTGGCTTATTAAACCGTGGAAAGGAATTGACAGGAACTCCTCTTAGCACTGTGTTCTCAACTGTGTGTGTGCTGACCTTGTCTGTGGTAGCTCTGACTCCATTGGGGGCCAGAGTCCGTGAAGTCTTGGTGGGAAAGCATAGTGTCTTCTAGACTGATTGGGACCCAGGCATAATCCAGATGTATTATTAAAATAGAATAATCCAGAATACTATTGAAAAGGGGCAGGAGGGGTCTGACCTTGCGACTGACATCCTCCTATGGAAGCTGCCAAACTGTTTGCTAAAAGTGGACCCTTCAGAAATAAACTTTCTTTCCTGGAGAATCTGCATGCATAAGCAGGCTGTATGGCAGCAAGTCCTGAAAAAGTAGGAGCTGACAAAGAGGTTGCTTCCTATAGTTCTGATCCTTTGTCACTGGTGTGATGAGGCCAGGCCTCACAATCATTAGCCCACACGTGCTGCTCCTTAAACTAGCTGCCAGCCATGTGAGCTCAGCACCGTGAGGTTCACCCACCGCAGTGCATCTGAAAGTGTCATGCTGACTAAGGAGACCCAGGTGCCCTCAGAACCAAACAATCAAGGGGTGAATTGTCTAAACGTGGAATTTGGGGCTAATTGTAACAATGTAGAGAGAGATGAGCCAGAAATACTTTGGCAATCTATATATACAAAAGGCTAATGTGCTCGGTGTCCTACCATCCGGGTAATGACATCACATAGCAACTCCCAGCTTCCTCTCCCTAGCGACCAGCCTCCTTGCAGTTTTGTCAGCCCAGGAACACGACTTGCTTCAAAGCCAGGTGGAAACATTTCACACTGTAACCAAATGTCTGTGAAGCGTTTTCCTGTGCCTCATCTCATTTGATCCTTTCAGAAGTCCTCAAGTAGGTAGATAGGAGACTTGGTAGAATCCTATTTTCTTTTGATTAGCCAGAAAACAGAGATTTAGAAAGCTTAGAAACTTGACCTGACTGAAAAGAAGTAAGAAATGGTGGACCTTGAAAATGACTTCAGGTTTTCTCAGTGCAGAATATCATCAAACACTGCTGCAGTTAAATATCTTACTGTTTATTCTCCCTGAGTGATCTACAATAATAATCTGCTTCGTGTTGGTATTTACTGCTGTGTTGCTGACAATTACCCGAAAGAGAAATTGGGGTGTTCCACTGGGCTGGAAAAAGTTTAGCTAAATCAGAAAGCAGGTCTAATTAAGCAAGTTTATCCTATATAATGAAAGCCTATGGGCTGTGCTGAAGGGATCCCCCTTGAGTGCACAAATTTCATGCACCGGGCCTCTAGTCTACATATATATATATATAGAGCTCTTGCTGGTGCCAGTCGCATGTGTGTGTTTCGATCTGTCATTGTCAATCATGAATTTGGTTGACACATCTTTTATAGAGAAAGGGCAAATAGTTATTTCTTCTAATTAATTTCCTTTCAGTGTGCACTAACTTCCTTTCAATGTGCACCAAGCCACTAGTTGACACTAAAATCATGTGAGTAAAGAATCCATAGCCTGTCCTTGGGGTCTTCGCACTGGCACAGAAAACCTGAATGGGAGTTTTTTCTGGGGTTCACGCTGTTAAGTTAGAATTCCTTTATCCCTAGCACCTGATGGTCACGGCTCAGAGGTTCACGGTGCAGATCGAAGAGAAGCTGCTCCTCAAGCTGCTGAGTTTCTTTGGCTACGATCAAGCAGAATCAGGTAATGGTGAACGTTCTGGGTTTGTGTCTGGGAATTGGCCCCAAACCGGCATTTTTTAGCCTGCTTGTGGAAATAAGGTTTTGGATATAAGCTCTCTTTCCACATCGTAGCCTGAACCAGGAAGGTTTGTGTTTCAGTTTTCAGAGTATTGCTTGTTGACAGGTTGAAGTACATCTGGGCGTGAAGGAGGCGGCTCAGAGGTGTCCTGGAATGCCAGGCGCTAAGCCTTTGGGAAGCTGTATACTCTTCCTCTTTGTTCTGCGTTTTTTGACTCCTCTCCTCTGGGCTAACAGAAATGATGTTAGTTATTTAGCAAACCACTTTGTTTCCTAACCTTTGTTTATGAAGCAGACCGAGGGCCAAGAATCAGAAATCCCTTCGGCAGTTCTTTCGGTTTAGTGGAAGAAAAAAATTGGCTAGCCTCAGCTCCTTAACTTTTTACATTCATCCCCTTATGCCTTACAAAGGCTTCTAATTACTTTATTCTTCTTTGGAGAGGGGAGTGAGATACGCTGTTGAGAAACCTACGTTTTCCAGCTACAAAAATCGTTTTGTTTTAATTCCTCAGCGTGGCCTTTGCAAGACTGTATACTAGAGAAAATCAGTAATGCTTAGTCTTTGGAAGACTACAGTAATAGCTGAGCCTGGGGAAATGATACAATAGAAACATTTATGTTTATTGCCCCTGTCTGCTAAGGAAAAAAGGAATCCCTGGGACATGTGTGCATATGCACATACGTATACACCATGCAAGCAAAGTATTTCTGCCTTTTTATTCCAGACTTGGAATTGAAGCTTTTCGTGTATTTGGGATTAAGAACAAGATGCTGTCTGTTTAGTGCTGTGTTTTCACTTTGGGTTGGAATGCTGGTGTTTATTTGTGCTTAGACAGTCACTTAGGAACCTGCCTGGCAGGTATCTGTTTCCTTTTGGTATCTTCCGGAGAAGTTTTACTTTAAATTTGATTGGACGTGCTTTTCCTGTAAGCTGCTCTAAATAATCCCCCCCCCACCCCCCCGCCCTCCGCCAAGCATCGTACTGTGGATTTAGACTCTGTAAGGGCCTGGCCTGCCTTTCACCGGAGTATCTTCTCTGCTTCCTATTTCTGTGTCCTGATTACAGATAAGCTAGGCTCTGTTGCAATATCTTTTTTTTTTTTACCCCTTTTTTCTATAAATAGAACTGTAATAGGTACAGCATAAATTTATTTGGTAAGTAGATATGTATAATATCTTTGTTCTTATTTCTAAGGCACATGCAGCCAAGTGAACATAAGCTGCCCAAATGGGTGTGGGCACAACATCGAGTCAAAGGGCACATTGCTGTGGCTTAGCCCTTAACCTTTTTACTTCATGAGATAATAAGTGAAAAATAGGCCTCGACTCTGCTGTGCAAACGGATGCTCACCGTTTGGGAGAGAGAATGCTGCTGGTTGTGACATCAGTTCTGCATAGCCTGCAGCCTGTTTCTTTCTAAGGCATTATGTTTTGTTCCGATTCATTATTTATTGGTCATTGTTTATTTTGATTTGGTTAAAACACACTCCAAGTACTTACTTGGATGTCATCTTCTGAAATAAATTCAGAAAATCTAGGTCATTTATAATAATAATGACAACAGCAACATGGTTTTTAGAAAAATTACCAACAAGCACACCCATGAGCTCTCGCTTCCCCACCTGGATTCTTTCCCCAAAGGTGCTCGGCCCGGGGGTACAGAGTCACAAACCAAAGATTAAGCTATTGTGCTTTTTTGGTCAACAGCATGCAACAGATCTGCTTTTACAAGGAAATGCATCAAGATACTGTGCATAATTCTGAACCATGAAAAACTAAGTGTAGAGGGAATCGATGTTTACATTTTTCTGTGAGTTTTTAAATATGTGAATCAAGTGTTTGAATCATGGGGCTTCAGAAATTCATTTTTTTATAAAACAATTCTATCTTTGTGCCAGAGGTTGAAAAATATGACGAAAACCTCCACGAAAAGACAGATGAGCAAGGAGGAACACCCATTCGCTACTACTTTGAAAATCTCAAGATCAGCATTCCCCAGATCAGGCTGAGCGTGTTCACCTCCAACAAGTTACCCCTGGACCTGAAGGTGAGCTGAGAGCTGGATACGTTTTAAACAATGACTTCCTCAGAAAAGAGTGCGTGTGTTTACTCTTTGCTTTTTCTGTCCAGCACCATTTGTAACAGACATTTTTACAGGTTTCCTTCTTTAGGGGTTTACTGACTCGTGTGTGTGTGTGTGTGTGTGTGTGTGTGTGTGTATGTGTTCATTTTTTAAAAATGTTTAAGTATGACTTTGCCAAAGATTAAGGAGTAACAAAAGAGTAGACCGAGAAGTACATTAGAACTCACCTGCTCCCTCCTTAGCTCTTGTCTCATCTCAATGAGGTAAAAGCCTCCTTGCCTAGGGCTGCTCCCACACTCAAGAGGAAAACTATCACCGAGACAGTCTCTTCCTTTTGTGCCCAAGACCTGCCTGCCCCTCCTGGTTCTCTCCTCCTCTCTGCGTCTTCCGCGTCTTGAGTGGGTGACACTTGAAACGCCGGCCACTGCAAGGAAGACGTGGCCACTTGCCCACTCCCCACAGAGACGTGGCCTTGCCTACCCCCAGACCAGACGCAACGGGGTCATCTTGATATTCACCTGACACAGTCTGAGCAGCTTCTTCATTTTCTGCAATAAACTCTTCATTCGTCTGGTCAACATCAGATCATGTTTGGATAAGAACAGGGCCAAGTGGCTGCTTCATGAAGGCAGCAAAGTGGGGCTGAGCTGCTGGGTCAGGACCAGGGGGCGGGGACTGCCCTGCAGCGTAGACCGGCAAGGGTGCCCTTCCTGACGCACTGCCCGCTGTCCCGTCTGCTTCATTTGCTTTAATTTCATGTTTCCCAGGAGACGGCAGATACTTACAGTTAGCATGGGAGTGGGGGAAAACCATGGGAAAACCACTATCTTGCTAATATCCACAAGTATCCACTTGACTTCTGTGACCCTTCAGAATGAGTTTGTTTGATAAAGTGTATATTCCCCCGAGCACTTGGCACTCGCCCAGCGGGCCAATGTGAAGCATTTCCTGAGAGTTAAGGACTTCTTGTTTTTAAATTCATCTAACTAAGAAACACAGACACCTAAATATGCCTTTCAGATTGCTCCCAGCAGAAAACTTTCCCCCAGACTGACAAATGCAGCCTGATCTTCTCCAGGGGAACTGGCTCCCTGTTCGTCCCTGGTCTTGCCACCGCATGTGCGCCCTGCATACAGTGGCCGGGGATCAGGCGAACGTTTCATTGGCAGGCACTCTGCGCGGGAGCATTTGAAGGCATTTTCCAACGATTGTTAAGGAAATTCAGTGGAGCGGCCACATCATGAGGTGCGGGCGCAGCCACCCTGAGTGGGATCGGTCCGTGTTCCCAGCAGGGTGCTGGGCGTTGGGACTTCAGAGTTAAATTCGCAGCTTGTGGAAGTCACCGTTTTACCATGTCTTGGTTTCTCCTAGTGGAGCCTGGGACTCATAAAATAATGTCATTTATCCGAAGAGTTTCCTAACAGAGTAATACCCTTTATTAGCCGCTCTTAGGAAGAGCAGCGTGCTCTTTGTGACTATATGTAATGGCTGGGAGTATGTGCTTAGAAAACGGAGCCCCGTCCCAGCGCACGAGTCACAGGAGTCTGACTAAAAGGTAACCGTGTCTTTGGTGTTGAAGGAATAATTATCTTGATTCCCTTGACGCCAGGCCAGAAGTGAGGCTGTCAGGAATCTCAGAGCGAAGTCTCTTCAGGTTTACACCGAGGGAACGTTATTGCAGATGGAGTCTGTTCAGAAGGACTCGAAGCAGTCTCACATCTGCTATCTCAATTGGATTCCTTCCTCTGTGATGGGAGAAGGGGGAGGCAATAAGTTCCATTTCACAAACGCGGAGAGGAAAGTACAGCATCCCCACCCCCAGTTTCCCCATTATTCTCCCAAGTCTGCAAGTTAGAGTAGCCGACTCATATGGAGAATGCCAGGTAGCTTATATGTTCTCTCTCTCTCTCTTTTTTTAAAGATCAAAGAAGCCAGGAACCTTTAAAAGGTTTCACAAGGTGGCCTACAGCAGTTCTTTTCCCATTTAGAGCATGGGGGTATTACAAAAGCAGGGCTTTAATTGAGCAATCTAGTTTGGAAGAAAACCCACATTTTAATGGTCAAAGAGCAAGAGGGTGGGGGTGAGGGGGAATTTCAAACAAAGACACTATTTAAAAAGCCTAAAACTGTCTTCTCAAAGGCTTGAAATAATTTGTTGGGAAACTTCAGACCCTTTACTTTTTTCCTCCCCTTCCTAAATAAAAACCAGATTTGTTAAAGGAAAAAAGATCCAGTATTGTTAATTGTATTTCAGAAAGTGCCAGAGAGGGAAAGATCCCTGTAGTTTTAAACACCGTCCCAAGAGGGAAATGGGCAGATACCCTGCTTCACATAAACAGTCTCTATGCACCATAAATAAACCTTTAAAGAATGAATTCCAGACAGTTTTGTTTAGTGCAGGATAAACTCCGAGAGGAAAGGACGTGGCCCAGGGGCTGGCTTGCGATCTGAGACCTATGGCGTATGGACAGGTATTTCTCCTTTCAGCTCTATAAAGTTTCTGGAAGACTTCAGCAGTTTTTGTCTGGCAGAGGTCGGAGTAGACACTTTCCTATTTTTATTAGGAACTTATGAGCACAGATTGTTTTCCCCAGAATCCATTTTATAACAGGAAACTGCTACTTGAGTAAATGAGCATCAACTTAGGATACTACTGTATGTGATTAGTCCTCTAGTT